TCCGTGGGATTCGAACTCTAGACCTGCCGCTTGGGGGTGCAGCAACCCCACCACTTCACTAGGTCGCCACACCCATGTCAAACAAATATTTATTTACTAGGTGAATAAGTTAAAATATGAAAGGCATGTACAGTACATACATACTAATCAATACATAGTACCACATAAACCTACATTGTCAATATCTACATACTCTGAATGTTGCGAAGTTTAATAAAAAAATACGTATTTTTAATGCTCATGTATAATTTTTTTTATTTTAATTCTATTAACTTATAGAATTAAAAATTCGCTGAAATTAGTTATTAATCGAGAAATATTGGTTTAAAGTTCTAAAAACCTCTAAATTTTAAGAGAATTTTCATATTCTGACCCGGAATTTTGGGAGGGGGCCGTAAAATCATGTGATATTACTTATTAGTATTAATTTTAATGTAAATTAGATCTTATTGATACTAAAATGTTTTTTTTTATGAATACTGAGATTCTCCAAGTGCAGTCATGGCTAATTTTTATTATTTCTCATTTTGATAAATAGTCCATAATTCTAGTAGTAATAATTATATACCATATAACCGCGAAATAACGCGCGTTATTTCGTGGTTATATGGTACGTACATTTCTTCATTTAATCAGATTATTATTTATTATGCTTCAGCATCAAGTGGGTCAAGTATTCTGGCTATAACTTATATTCAACCTCAGGAATCTCAGAGTTTAATAATATATATGCAATATTTATTTAGCTATTCAGACCGGTTCAATCTATTCATTATCGTTGCAATTTAAATAATTCATATTTAAATTGAAAAAAATCCAATTTCCTGTATTGTTCAGGTGTTGAAAAATTTTTAATTATATTGTGACAATTAAAAGCTCGCTATTTTAAATATCATTGTATTCTATATAAACCTTGTCAACTGTATTAAAATAACTATACATATTATATATACTATTCAGATCGGTTCAATCTGTTGTAATATAAATAATTAATATTTAAATTAAAGAAAATCCAATTTACTGTATTGTGCAATAGCATTGAAAAAAATTTAATTACACATATTGTAACAATTAAATGATCGTTATTTTGAATAACGTTGTATTTTATATAAATCTATCATCCTGTCGCATTTCCTATATACTGTATTAAAATATATATCAAAATGAAATTAACAAAATTAACAGATGATTGTTATTTAGAAATTATCAAAAACTTTGAATATGATCACCATACTTTATATAACTGCCTCTTAGTTAATCGCTTATTTTGTCACTTTACTGTGTCTCTGTTATGGGCTAACCCTTTCTATAATATAAATAAAGGTTCGATAAATGTTATATCTATTTTTCTTATTTATCTTGATGAAAATGAAAGGCACCAATTGACTTCAAGCGCATATCAGGTCGATCTATCATGTACACATATTTTCCAAAAAACTTTATTTAATTATGCTGACTTTCTAGAGACTTATTCTAGCTCCAAGATACAAAATATCACCTCATTGTGGTATCAATATACTCAAGATATATCTAAGCCTAGTTTAGAAACATCAACCTTTATGGCTATCCAAAGCATGTTGTTTCGAAGATGTAAGAGAATCAAGAAATTCTACATTTCATTGGCTGAAGATAGCTTAACATTTCCTTTAATTCCTAGCTCATGGTTCTATTCTTCAGAATTGAGAGAATGCGAATTTAGATTTGTTGTTTCAGATAGTCAAAACATGATTGTATATAATTATATTAACTTAATTTCTATAATGAACAAAAGAATTCAAATCATTCGCATTATGGCTTATAATGAAGATATACCACCAGAATGTTGAGAACCATTCTTAAATTTAATTAGTGCTCAAACTGAACTCAAAGAACTTGAGTTAAATTATTTTAGCACTTCTAGCTTTACACCTTTGTTACGACAAGAAATGCTGCAAACAAAATCTCAAAGCCTTAGAAA